TTTTAAAGTAATGGTTTGGGATCTAAATCTAATTAAAAAAAAATTGCTGATAAACAAAGTATTTTATCAGAAACCTCTTATTTTAATGTATCAAGAAAGGAGGATTATTTTTATGTTCAATCCTACTCATTTACTTTAAGCAATAACTTTTTAAACTATACTCTTGAATGTGATGATACAATTTTAGAAAAGTTCAATTCGGTAGATGAGACTCGTAATATTCTTTTAGTACGAATATATAAGGCAACGGACATTAATTAATTAACATCCTAATTCAAATTCATTTCAAAAAATGAAGTTTAAATATACTTCSCAAGTATTAGCAATACTGTTGCTTCTATAATGGAGACATGACGTATGTTGACTGGTGACTTATCAGGTGAAGCTATTCAGACAATTGATTTGATTTTATCAATTTCATTGATAATCTTTTTGTCATATTCAATTCTTGACCAAGTTTAACTGAATTAAGTATTGACAAGGAACAATCTAGATAAATATTCGACGTATGAAAATGCATCCGGCGTATTGTTGACGAAGAGAAAGTTGACCACTCCGACCTGCTGTTGGTGTCAGACAGCGGCGAAAGCAGGGGGGATGTAACCCCCCCCCAGAAATATCAGGAACAAAAAATAAATTATATTACCTACAAATTATTACTAATGAATAATAATWAATTTATATATTATATATACAAATACCTAGTGTAATACAGTAAGAATAGTATGATATTTATGATTATTTTAAATATTTTCAAAACATTTAACAGCACTAACGGATACGCTAAATCCACAAATTGTTTATTTTACTGAAAAACAAGTGATAGTTGCAAAAATGATATTTCAGCTGAGTTCAGGACCGGTCCAATGTGTGATCTACCAATAAATGGCTGGTCGCTGGTCCAATGTGTAATTAACTTGCTATAATTTTGCTTGTTATGTTCATACTGCAAAAGTATTTTTTAAATCTGATAACAAATCATCAAATATTTTAGTTTGTATCGGATGACACGACTACCACCATTCTTCTTTAAGTTGGCCGTCTAATAATAGTGGAGATGTACCATTTACTTTTAATTTTTATATTATACTTGGACTTGACTAACTTCCACAACAACTCTATTGTTTGAGTATGAGCTCTAGTATTTGGATCCACAAAATTTTCAGGATGATATCCATGGTCCTTCAGAGAACTAATATGCTCGCCACTGATCGCTGTAAATCGTTGTATCAATTTCTACCTCTCTTTCTATTATTGGTATAAGCGTATGTCGATCCCTTTTTTCTACGATGAAAAATCGACGTGCAGTTTTGTTGTCTTTATTACAAGTTGTAATTTACAACACAAACCAAATACCGTGCACGGTCCCTGTGTTCTATTTCCATAACTTCGTTGTTGGTTGTTTTCTACCAGAGTTTCATTTTCATAATTTGAAGTCTCGTCACTATCTTGTGGTCGTGGGTCGTAATCACCACGTCGTAAGCGACCGCGATTATATTTTCGTTAAAATATAGGTATCTGTTATCGGTAGATCACACGTAGTACCTACAACGGTATTTCGCAGATAGCACATTGGATCGGTCCCGATATTTCACCCACATACTTACTATTAGTAAGTTACTAATTACCATATTCTAGAGAAATAATCATAATTTCATTATATACAAATAATAAAATATGTCACATGAATCAGTTTGATTCATTGATTTTTTTTTTAAATTCCCTGAGTTATATTTTTATTACTTAGCAGTTGGCATATACTCAGTTTCACTTCTATCGTGCGAGATATGGTACACTAATATTGGTTATTACTTTTTTTTAATGATATGCAACACGGCGCGTTGTATAAGCAATAGTGGTACATTTACGCATACAATATTAAATATTGTACAACTGTTGCCTATACAATGTGCCGTATTAACACTATTATTATAAAAACCTATACCTTGTTCCAAATAAGAGCGCACCGGGCGGCTACAGGCAAAACCGGTTCTGTTACGTAAATTTGGTGCGCTCTTATTTGGAACAAGGTATAGTGTCGTACACGATATTATAATGGATTTTGTCTACATGGTACTCATAATCATAAACCATCCACATAATCTAAAGACTGTTAAACGATATTATATACATATAATACAATCAATATTTTCAYGACTGAATGTCATTGTCACTATGCTTCACGTTGTCCGGTGACAAAATTCAACGGTTGTTCACGGTACACCACACATGGGAAGTAGTTTACTCATTTTTTTGTTCGATTAAATATCAACCCAGGCAGTGACGGTGGGCACAATTAATATATATTTATAAATTATAATTATGATTCTCCCATAACTTAAAATAATATTGTTAATTAATGAAATCACTACAACGAGTATTTCGATGATCAAACCTATCTTTACCTATCAAATTAATGAAACGTTAAATTCCTTGAAATGTCAATCATGTTTGTCCTGTACACATGTCGAGTACAAACAACATCATTATTTCGAGTAAATAAAACTAAGTAGGTATTTGTTATTTTGTTACATTTTTTATTTGTACAAACTTAACGCATTCAGACCTAATTTGTACATCACATAAATAGAATATAAATAAAATTCAATTAATAATATAAATACTTCAGGTGAAAATATATCAAATAATGCAAATAGAAGGTTTATTAATATATTTTAAAATATAATGACGGTGTAAAATTTAGAAATTAAATACAAACTATTAAAAAAAATGATTAAATGATTAAATTTAAAAATTGTTAATTGTTTGTATACCTTAAAATACTCATAACTCACTTTAAAATTAAAATATAGTAAAAAGCCTACGAGATGCCCTCGATAATAATGTTACCTTTAATTTTTGTAAGAGGTCAATTTACTCTAAATTTTAAACTAACGGAGCTAAACGTGATCTGCTGAGCGTAAAATTTGCCACGTTACGCGTTTGTAAGACGAAGACAACATAGTATGCGGGTGTAGCGTCCTCTTAATACATTTGTGTCGAAAGAAAATATTGCTGTCATCCGCATATATTGTAATTTTTCCAGGGGTGGGTGTAAGTTTAGATGAGTCATTTATTGTGATTAGAAATAATTTTACACTTATGGAAGAGCCTTGGGCAATTCCGTTATTCAGGTTATATAAGGATGAATGTTGTCCATCRCTCACGAGTATCATTGTRGCCACCTGTTTTATACTATGCAAGCCGAAACTCGCAGGTGTCTGGTGTACTTTATACGTCATTTATTACCCACTACAACTGCGATGGGTATGAATGATATTATAGACGTCATGGTACTAAATAATAGTATGTACAGATTGCCGATTGGWGTTTAAGTATTGTTTTTATTTTTCTAATGTGAAATTGTCAAAGTTCGACAGAAGTGATCGAAGCGTGGAACGGAGGAATGACACTAATTGCAGCAGACGCAACTGGTAACTACGCTGAAATAATAGGAGGTATATTAATATGTTATTATTAATCAGTAGACAGTAATCCTATAATACCTAATCATCTTCTATAATTTGATATCATATTATTATATATGCGGTTCCATGTTGTCTATTTATACACACGAAAAGTATGTGTTTTCCCGCTGAAAGAACGTATTAAATAATCGGCAACGTTACTCGTATTTAATAATTAGGTACTGTCTGATATTGAATTATCGCAAATGGTTTTCTCACGATAGCCATTGATAGCACAATTTTATGAATTCGTGAGGATTAAAGTTTATAGGTTCGCTATGTTATCAAGATTCAAGGAAATTCTTATAGACGTCCAACATGTAAGATATTTTAGAAACATTAATTTTAAGTAAAGTGGTATCTGCTTAATAACATACTGTGTTCCGTATTAAATTTGTGGGTAAGTAGTACATTATTATTTAGCATGTTTTTATTTTCAGTAACAAGTACCTAGTTTTCTTAATATTTTTTATTAGTTTGTTATGTAGGTATTTTTAAATTTGTACATGTTACTTTAAAGTTAAAATAGGTAACGTTAGTTCAAAACTAGAGTTCAAATCTTGAAGGTGTTACAATTATGTAATACTCACATCACGCGACATTACACATTAAAAATATTAAATTTTACCTATTCATATTTTTAGAAGCTGCAAGCTTCTACAAAAACTTTCACAATCCTCATCTAACAAACTTTAATTCACTCATTAAAAACTTGTTTACACAAACTACTTGGAAACCCCAGGTTAAATCTAAAGAGAAACTGGTG